CTCCAACCAATCAGGCTTAGTAAACAGAGAAAGAACATTCATCCATTTATCTGCCTCTCATTCTACTCGTGTTTCTACCCCAACCACCGCCATCGGTGGTCCATTCCATATGTCAATGGTTATTAGGCCTGTTCTTTTTAGTTGAACTTTTGCACCAGTTCATCTTTCTTCAGGTTTGTTCGTGTTGCATGCTCCAATATGTTTCAATATGCTCCTAGCATAGTTCTCAGGGTGCGGTCCACTTAGCGCTACAAATGCTTCGAAGTTTATGATTGACTAATTGGAAGAAAGAATTTCACTAATTGACCAATCAAAAAATGTTTCGAAACATTTATAGCATCAAGTGGACCGTAGCTTACTCCAACGCGCTTGATAGAGTAGGAGCTATGGTAGGAGCATGTTGGAGTGTGTTGGAGTTTGCGACACGAACAAACCTTTCCTCTTCTTTCCTCCTGGAGAGAAAAGTTCAGCCTAAAAGAACAGGCTTATTGAAATTGGAATAACCTTGATTCGGAATCAGTCCGTGAGTCATACCTTCCGAATGAAATTATCATAAATCATTTTCACACTGCTCGATCTGTTATAACACTTCCACTATACATTAATGTAATTTTTTGAGCCGTTACAACAGCATTGTTCCCTTAATAAATTTTCAAAAATTATGTTATATATTATGGCGCATATGTACTTTCAAATCTTCCGTTTTAAGAGTTTACTTTCACGATTTCATAAAATTAAGTATTGACATAATATACACTGATTTAAGTAATTAACTAATTATGCTTATTAAAGGACATCGCGCCGATGATCTTGACCTTAACATATGTTGTCAAGATCATAATTCTGATAACCCCTTAAACATGAGTTAGCGCACGTATAAAAAAATACGCGTCTCTTAGATTTTCGTGGCTATGTTTAACAACATATTTCATGGAGAATCAAATCAATTCCGGACAGTTGTAAAACTTCCCTTGTGAAACTTTCCTTGTGAGTAACTTTGCCTTAACAACTAAGTGGCGGTCTCTTATAGTTTCTGAGATATTTGGATTTAAAGTTTGAAAAAACTGATGTCTCTTTTCTACTATATGAAACAGAAATTTCCCTTAAAATATATTTTACGACTTTCCACGCGAAGCGACTTTCACCCTACCTCCTTCCATTAGAAGATAAACTCCGATGATCTCAACTTTGAATTGTTGACTTCTATTCATCTCTACTGATGGACCTCGCTATAAGCGACAATATAAACAACGTGCCTAGCGACGGTAAACGCACGCCTCACCGCGCTGGGCGGTCCTATCCTGTCGCGCGGTTGCATTAGACGGTAGGCTGGTCGAATTTGGCTATTTTCATCAATTAATAACTCGTTAACCATTACGAAAATTAATATGGTAGAGAACTTTTCTTCTTCTTAGTTTAGTCCATTCTGCCCCTATGCGAAAGATTTTTCATTACTTTCCAAATACCCTGCAGTAAAAAGAGACCATTTTTAAAACTTTTTTTGTTAATAACCTTTATCGAAGGACGACCACCCAAAATCTGTTGGAGGTCTTTCAGGTCATGATAACATATGTCAAGGTCAAGGTCATCGGCGCGGTGTTCCTTAATGTAAATAATTATTACACAAATTAGACCTTTAAGTCTAAATATCTCAGAAACTATAAGAGACCGCCACCTAGTTTTATTAAGGCAAAGTTACTCAGAATCATGACTTTGACAACATATGTCAAGATCATCGGCACAGTGTCTCTTAATATGCATAATTATCCTGATTTGTAACTGAGGGACCCTTTACTACTAAGTAAATATAAAAATTATTAAGAATAATTAAAGTAACTTGGAATTCTCAATAGATAAATTAGTACAACATAACTTATTTACGAGTCAATCCAATATATTAAATATAGGTACCCCTGCAGCACAAAGTTGCACAAAAGTTGCAGCAACATCGCATGTTGCAGCAATATTGCAGAGATTTTGCAGTGATATTGCTGCAAATTCTGTGCTGTATGGGAAGGTAAAAAAAATATATATATATATATGATATACATATTTATATTTAATGTAATTTCTTGGCGTGAATTAGTAATTATCATTTTATTTTATTTTACTATAGATATTATTACTAGTTGAATCCATGATTTATAAGCTATGATTAATCAGATTTCTGCAATCATGTTGCACTTTGATATATTGCGTTAACAGCGATTTATGTGACAGATGTATTATCTTATATACTGCAAATAAAAAGTAATTTGTTTTTCGAATACACATACGCGCTTAAATGCGCGCAAGTGCGATGCGTACATGTGCACATGTATGTATGTTTGTGTTATATATAATTATTGGAACATTTAGAAGATATTTGTAAATGACATGTTTTAAAAATTTGATTGCACATAAACTATTATAAAATTGGTCGAATTTAAAAACTATTTTTCATAAAATGTCTTCATAGAAGTACTTTAATACTTTCATGGGAGAAAAACTTGGAACTTGCAAGTTTTTCACTTGAATAACCATATTTTCTTCACTATAGAAATGTTACCTTGAAAATAATCTGTTAAATGTTACTTTGAAAATAATCTGTGCAAGCAAATTAAAAAAAATTCTTTTCTGTATTATGAGAATACTTATGTGCACAGATATTACGTAAACCAATTATGTTCTACAAATGTTTATGTGAAAGAAAATTATGTAAATCGAAATTGACTTAATTCATAAAATGATAAATTTTTCACATACATGATATTAAAAATGTTTCGTATAGTATTTAGGCCAATATTTACAGCTTTCAAATATTGCTCTTTAACTGTATATTTATGTATCTAACTTCTAAATATTCTATATGCTAAAACATGCAAGAGTATCTCTTTAAATGTGGAACGAAAAAAAAACAAGTTGCGATATTATGTTGCGAGCGTTACCAAAATCGGATAAACTAATCACTATATCCTTGTACAATACTATGCTACTTAATGCTCACGCGCGCGATTATAATAGAAAAAAAATTCGAGATATACAGTTGTAATAAGTTTTTAGAAAATAAGATACAAAGATAATATAAATGTGAGAAAAGATTGAATTAATATGACATATTGATTTTAAAAAATTATCATTACTGTAATATAAATTATTCTAATGAAGATGAATAAAAGCAAAAAAGTGCTGTAATGTATAATATATTTCCCAATGTATATCTTTGTTACAAGTTTTATAAAGTTATACATAAACATTATATATATGTATACCATATATCTCAATATAATTTGTATATATGATCTATAACAGGATACGTAACATTTATATTTTATTAGTAATTATGTATTAATGCTTCATTTCTTCTTTCATATTTTCTAATCAAACTGTTTTATCTAATATATTTACATTGTGAGTTACGCATTTATTCTATTTCAGTAAAAAAAATTACAACAAGATGTGTATTACTATACTCTTTTTTTATGTAATGTTAGTTATTGGGCTAAATACGCAATTATCATAGACTGATTTTTTTATATTCAATTTTTGGGATACCTTGTATACAGGGTGGCCCATGTAAAGTGTTACAAGTTATTATCTCTGAAAGTGTGTGTCAAATAACTAATATGTTCAGACAAAAGTTTTATAACTTTGAGGAGAGCATAAGATGATACCATTTATTTGATCTTGGGTAGCGTTGTTAAAATGAGAGCAAGGCCACTTTGAATTTTTTAAATGGAATCCCCCATTTTTTATTACATATTCTTGTAGCTTACCTTGAGAACTTTCCAAAACACTATAATTAAGTTCATTTTCATTAAGTATTTTTCGAGTTATAAGGCTCGAAAGTTTAATGTTACAGTACCGCCGACATTAGCATTACGCAAGTTGTCCGACTGACGGTTAAAACCTCTTGAATGTTGTTCAGGATCATGTCCTGGATAATATTTGTCAAGATCAAGGCCATTGGAGATTATTCCTCATATTTTCATTTTTACATTAAGAATTCATTTTTATGTAAAAATGAAAATAAGAGGTACAATCTCCAATGGCCTTGATCTTGACAAATATTATCCAGGACATGATTCTGAACAACATTCAAGAGGTTTTAGCCGTCGGTCAGATATCTTGTGTAATGATAATGCCGGCAATATTGTTGTAACTTTCAAGTCTCATAATTCGAAAAGTACTTAATGAAAATGAACTTAATTATAGTGTTTTGGAAAGTTCTCAAGGTAAGCTACAAGAATATGTAATAAAAAATGGGGGGTTCCATTAAAAAAATTCAAAGTGGCCTTGCTCTCATTTTGACGCTACCCAAGGTCAAATAAATGGTACCATCTTATGTTCTCTTCAAAGTTATAAAACTTTTGTCTGAACATATTAGTCATTTGACACACACTTTCAGAGATAATAACTTCTAACACTTTACATGGGCCACCCTGTATATTTTTTTCTTATGACAACATATAATAACTTATATACGTACGTACATGTATATACATGCATGTATACAGGGTGTCCGGTAAGAGACAAAGCTAATCGTCTTCACATAATATTGCCTAAGATTCGCGCATTCAAATATGGTAGGTAAGTGCCAACGCAAAATGCCAACCATACCTAAATGACTTTAGGCGATATTATTCGTTAACTTTAATGCTTATTTAATTAAAAAACTATTATAGTCTCGATATTTTGATATTAGAATGTTTGCCTCAAAATAATTCAGAAATCTATCTTTAGACCAATATTACATGCGTTCGTTTTTTGTCGTACGACGAATTTTTCAAGTATGTTAATTGGCTACAAGACAGAGAGTATCTCGGATCTCTTTGTCTAATAGTTAATCAAGAGGCTTGAAAAATTTGTCGTACGATAAAAACCGGACGCATGTAATATTGGCCTTAAATGTTATTACTATCAGCCTTTACCAGACACCCTATATATATGTATGTATGTATGTGTGTGTGTGTGTGTGTATATGTATATATGTATATATGATTATGCAGAACAATTATATATTTTACAATTTTGATAACAGAAATTTCTTTTGCATCTCACTATTTGACACTGATGTTACTAGTCACTTTTTTAATACGTTATTTGCCTCAGCACGTTCTTCTTCTAATTCCTTAGATGTAATATCCAGCTTTGACTTTGCAAAGTTGTTAATTGGAAGATTCTGAAAATAAATCACAAGATGGATTTTTTTTCTCTTAAAAAATTTTTCTAAATATGGTGAAATGCTGCATTTATTTTCAATAATTTTGATTTTGAATAATCAATTTCATTTTGAATAATTAGTAAAAAAATATCGCTAATTGTGAAAGTACAAATCATTAAATAGCTGCGTTGACATATAAAAGTATCTCAAATATAGAGTATTTCAAATATAGAGTAATTCAAAACGAAAAAAGTCTAAATTTCTATCATACATTTAAGAGTTGAAATTACTTCAATATATATTTTACACGATAACTTACTTGCACTATTTCATATTGCTTGTCCTTGATAATAACAGGAAAAGAAAATACAATATGTTTTGTAATTCCATAACTCCCATCAGATACAACACCCATGCTAACCCATTCTCCAGGCTTAGTACCAAACCACCAATCTCTCATATGATCTCCAGCGGCTTTAGCAGCAGACATGGCAGAAGACATTTTTCTAGCTGCTATTACAGCAGCACCACGTTTTTGAATTGTTTCGACGAAAGTGTTATTCAACCACTCATCATCATTTATCTCAGATGGTACTGTTTTTAAGCCAGATAAAAGCGTTACAGTTGCATGCGCTGCATCGGGATATTGCGTGGAACTGTGATTACCCCAGATAATGACATTCTTTACTTTATCCACCTATGTATCAACGAGACTATAGAATAGGAATATTCAAAACAGTATATACATATAAGCAACAATCTAAGTACAGTCTTGCATTTTATATTGCTAATATAAAAACGTCTCAAATGAAAAAAATATCAATTCTCAATAATAAAGTCAAATTTTATGTTTTGTCAAAAAAATGTTTTAAGCGTGATAATACATATTACCTGTACGTTTAATCGTGCAGCTAATGCTGCTTGTGCTCTATTTTGGTCCAATCTAGTCATCGCCGTAAAATTTTCTTTCGGAATAGACGGTGCATAATGTGAACAGATAAGCGCGTTAGTGTTGGCAGGATTACCTACAACTAACACCTTGACATCCTTACAAGCATATTTATCCAATGCTTCGCCTTGCACCTTGAAAATTTCTATATTTGCGGCCAAAAGATCTTTACGTTCCATTCCTTCTTTTCTTGGCATTGCACCAACCAGAAAAGCAGCTGCTACATTATTAAAGGCCTTGGCTGGTTCAGCCGTTGGCAAAACCTCTAAAAATTTAAATTAAGCTATTTACAGCTATAAAAACTATTAATAAGTATAAAAATTAGAATATAAATATCCATATAATGATATAATGTTATGCAATATATTCTATACTATATAAACGTAAATTCTCAAGGAACATGTATTTATTCTTAACACAGAATTGCCAATAGTATTCCGCTATAATTGCCGAAAATGTTATTGATCGGCAATTTTCTATTCTTATTTATGGTTATGAGTAGCTATTTTATTTGTATTTTTTAAATTATTTGTATTATACTCACATATTTTTAATGTTCTGTATATTCTGTATAATATATTTAATACAAAAAAGAAAAAAAATTGAAATAATTAATGGAACCAAAATTAGAGATTCTAACGTTAATCGTTTTTAAGTTTCTTGTATATAGGGTGTATCTGAAATAACGCTCATTAATCATATAGTGCTATTCCAAATAAAAAACTGTGTGAGTCGAAAAGTCCTCTACCATTTTGCAATTTTCGTAATATTTTTTTCAGTTGACCAATGAGCAAAAAAATCAATGTATAAGACAATTTTAAGATATCTTTAAGAATTCTTTACCGATCTTTAGAAATTAATATCTCGTTAACTATTGCGAAAATTGCAAAATGGTAGAGGACTTTTTGACTCAGTTTTCTTATTAGAAATAGCACTGTATGATTAGTGGGCGTTATTTAAGATACATCCTGTATATAATTTGTCTTTATCACTATTATTATATAATTCATATAGATAATGAGGATTTCTTTCTTTCTCACTCACTCGCATACACGCACACGCATGTAAATATTAAAAATATATTAAATAATATTTGTAGACATATATGTGTGTACATTATATATGTATACATGTTCAAATATTCATACAAAATCAATTTTTAAATGTACGGCTTTCAACGCCCACCTCGTAAGAGAGGAAGTGCTAAATCTTCTAATTCCATAACCACACCATCCAATACCTTCATCATAGGTGGAATATCTAATAATCTGAGATTAATAGGTTGTTGTGGGCCAAAAACTGTACCAGCTGCAATCTGGTACAGTAAAGAATAAGCAATTTGACCAGCAGCACCAGTAATCACAACATTTATCGGCTCCGTCTAATATAAAATTAAAAAGAAAAAAATTAGTTTTAGAACGATTATATTGCGCTTTTATAATTGTACTAAAAATACATTCCAAAACATCCTCTCCGAGGAAAATTTTACTCGAAATATATAGTACATGTAATACATAAAGGGAAGCCCCTATTAGGACATAGACATCTAATATGAGATAGTGGCGTTTCTGCTAAACTAACAAACGCTGTCTATTGTTCCACCATGAATTTATTGCTCTTGGATTGAAAACTATTTAATGGAAAATTCATTATTAGATCATGCCATCAGTAGTCATTGTAGAAAAAGATTTTAGAATTTGAAGTCTTTAAGTTTCATTGGATGAGCCTTTAAACCTTGTTTATTATTTAACCTTTAGACTGCCGGGAAAGTCACTTTTGTGGCTCTTGAGTATGGGTTAAAATACCATTTTTGGTGACATTTTAAATACTAATTGTATTAAACATATATATGTGTATGTTGCCCAAAATATATAAAAATATATAAATATTAAAAAATATACAAAATAAGTAAAAAATATAAAAAAATTATAAAACACGAAAAAAGTAAAAAAAAATTCAAAAAATAAGTTTAACCAAACAAAAAGAAAAGTCAAAAAGAAGCTTTTTATGTCTATGTCGTTAGCTCTGGGTAATTCTAAATAAAGGAAAGTTCTCTGCACGAGTCTATACATTTATATTCATTTATGTTGTCAATATTACGTTTAGGGTTCAAGATTTCCTAAATCTATGCTCAGAATTGGAATCAGCGATACCAAAAACCCCCAAATATACTATTTTTGAGAAAATAAACATTTTTCATATTTGATCATACGTTCCTTGCCAGAAAAGCCACTTTTGTGGCTTTGCAAAAATCTCGAAATTTTGCGTCATGTGTATGTTACTTTTATAGAAAAATTTTTGAGGAAAAAGAATCGCTATTTTAATGAAAAAATGCCGGCAGTCTAAAGGTTAATAAGTAAATATTTTTTGGCAATAAATTGTTCATGTAATGATAGAGTAAGATTGTACTAATAAAAATACGGGATACGTTGAACTACTTAATTACAGAAGTTATATTTGATGATCGTAAAATCCATAAGGCGTGGAAATTATAATATGAAGGTACCCAGTGTATTTCTAATATGAAACCTATGCTCCTATGTCCATAGTGAAAATCATTGCTAAAGTATAAATGTTATTGTACATTTATACTTTATTGTAATAAAAAGGACAACCGGAATGAACATTGAGTGCCTATTTCTGCGATGCTTGATTCCAACTACTTGAAGATGAGGTTCTGGGTATAATCCGTCGCATGCTCATTTTTCGTGCATACTGGTTGTGTTTGTTTGTATTTTAGAAACATTAAATAAAGTTTTTCAATTGCAATACTGATTTACTTTGCGTTTTATTATCGATTTCTCGGGGTATCTCATATTAGGAGCACAATTTTTTGATTTTGTGATTTATGACTCACTTTTTACATTTCTTTAATTAAAAAAAAATAAAATTTAAATTAAATTTTACATATTAGCTTAAAGCTTAGCTTATTAAATTCTCTTCAAAATGACCTATTATTTTTTAAAATTCTGTTCATAGACTTCTAGCATTTATCTAAAATGAACTCGGTATTTCATAATAGGGGTCTTTACTATAGCACATAGAGTAAAATCTTCCTCGAAGAGGACATTTTGGAATGTAGCCTAAGTATATAACAATCTTTTCTGATTGAAATTGCATTATATATAATTTGTAATACACTAATTATCAGTATATCTATATTTTAAAATTATTATATTATCATTTTCAAGAATAGCAAAACATAAAATTTAATATTTAAGTTTCTACCAACTTTTAATATTATAGATATATAAAAAAATTGCTTTATTTATTAAAACAATTATATATATATATAAACATATGAAACACAATATATATGTGTAAATATATATATACACAATATACAACACAATATATAACACAATTATATATACATATATGTTGTACAAGAAACTGATTAAATTTAAATTAGTACATTTAATATGTATTTAATATGCGAGAATCATTGACAAGTAAATGAAACACACGTACAACACAGGATTTTACATAAAGGTCAAATAAAGGTGAAACTAAAGACAAATTTTATTAAGATATACGATATCTCTCTCATCCACATCTTTCATTATCTCTAAATCAATAATATGTAATATCAAAAACTTACCATTTTTCTTGTAATATGCTTATTATTAGCGAAATGATAAGAAAAAGAACACCTGATACCTAAAGTTGCCTAAAGTACGGTCAATATGATTAAACCATGAAGTATATCTCACTTCATAGATTAAACCAGAGAATAAAAGACTATTCACAAGCATTCACGATTGGAACCAAATACCCGACTCTGGAAAATATATGACCACGTTTACATGGTATGTAGGATTTTAGGGTGCCGTCACATACAGTCCGCAATCCGTAATCCGCACCGGATGTCCGCAAAAGCATCTAGGGATTGCGTATGTATGTACGGTAGATATTTCTCACGTAATCCGCAACTACGAAAAAAGAGTGTTCTAGTGCATTCTAGTGCACGTCAGAAAACAGATCATTTGTTGTATTTGCACTAATAACATATATCAAAGATTCATTATGTACTTCTAATTTCAAAATTGTTGTCAAATAAATTAATTACTATTTATAAATTAAAGGTAGGTTATGGCACGTTTATTTTTGTTTGACGTCGGAGTGTAATTGCGTTGCGTGCTTACGTGCTCCTTGTGTCCCATGGAGCCGCAAAATGCGAACGTGTAAATGTAATATTTTTTATTTAAGAAGTTATACTATTCATTTTTATTTTATTTTATAAGAAAATTACAGAATATATATTTTGACAAATATTTTTTTATATTTATAACTATAAATATATTTTTAGATTTATGACAAAAATTTTAATTAAATCGTCAACTTTAGTCAAATAGATAAAATTAGGAAAAGCATTACTGGTAATAATTAGTAATTTTTACGGAAATTTCATGGGATTACGGCTCTAGGGGGTGGGACACAAGGAGGTAAAACACACTTAAAGCTGGTTCTACATTAGTCGCATCGCAATGTCGCAAGCGTTATGATCCAATCAGAGTCGAGCTAGCTTGATGTTGATTGGACCGCAACGCCTGCGACGCTGCGATGCGACTAATGTAGAACCAGCTTAACGTTAAGCCAGAATCAGACTATAGGCCGCAGCACACTTTTGCATGACGCATAATGCATGACGCATAAGAGAATCAACCAATCAGAGTCCTTCATTTTCATCCCTACTCTTTGCTCTACGAATCTTGCATAGTGCATTAAGCATAAGTCCGGATCTACAATAGGTGTAGACTTAAGCCATAAAAAATGGGCGAATCACAGTCGATTATTCCCCTCGGATTCGACTGTAATTGGTCAATTTCTTACGGCTCCAGGGTATTTTTACGGAAATTTCATGGGATTACGGCTCTAGGGGGTGGGACACAAGGAGGTAAAACACACTTAAAGCTGGTTCTACATTAGTCGCATCGCAATGTCGCAAGCGTTATGATCCAATCAGAGTCGAGCTAGCTTGATGTTGATTGGACCGCAACGCCTGCGACGCTGCGATGCGACTAATGTAGAACCAGCTTAACGTTAAGCCAGAATCAGACTATAGGCCGCAGCACACTTTTGCATGACGCATAATGCATGACGCATAAGAGAATCAACCAATCAGAGTCCTTCATTTTCATCCCTACTCCTTGCTCTACGAATCTTGCATAGTGCATTAAGCATAAGTCCGGATCTACAATAGGTGTAGATAGACATGTATTTAATACACATATGTACAACACAGTCGCAAGTATACTGCACACATATAAATATTTAATATGGCGATGGAATGTTGCAAGTTATTCCGTTCAGCGGACATGGCAGTACACGGAACATTTTTCGTGACCACTTTCAATCTACACAGTTAAGTCTCCTTATTCTTACTTCATGGTTCTAACCTTGTTAAAAGTGTTTGAACATCAAAATATATAATATGGATCATAATTCATATTATTTTGACACTCATTATCAATATGATAATACTGATCAGGAACCATCGAATGAAATAAACATTCAAGAGATTGAAGAGGTGGATGGAGATGGTATACTGATTTCTTTAGTACAAAGTTATCCGTATTTATATAATAAGGAACCGACTGATTTTAGGATAGCATTAAAAAAGAAAATGTTTGGATAGAAATAGCCAAGATTTTAAACATTACTGGTACGTAATATCTCTCTAATTTTCTGTAACATTTTACTAACTTTATTTGTTGGAAAGTAACTATATATTCAGTAATTTTGATATTTAAATTATTTTTAAATAATTAATATTTAGAGAAAGTAAAATTTTTTAAATTATTATTATTTCTATAGCCATGTAAAAACTAGGTTATACACAGTTTCCAATATATTGCATAAAAATTTTGATTTTGTTATTGCCCAACTAAAATTATGAGATAAAAATATATTTAATAGAAAAAAATATTTTTTAAAAATACCTACTTCTAGATATATTTTAACTTTTTATTCATATATAATATTAACCTCTTGGCGTAATTTTACGTGCTCGGTAGTAATAATCAAAACAGTCCTTTTCTTCTTTTTTAAGATAAAGCTTCATGCACAAGCTTGTGCGTTGGCTCTCGTTACGTTATGCGCTATGCGTTATGCGTCATGCGTCATGGAAAAGTGTGTGCTGCGGCCTTGACGGTTGCATTCGTCGCCTTGACGTTTTGCAAATCGTATTGTACTAGAGAAGACCGCATCCTTTCGTACTTACTGTTGTCCACTGATCTTACGATCCTTCATCAATGTTATTGACGTTAACAAAGTTTGTTTACGCCGATCTTGACACTTTCATTTTCCTCAAAAGTCGTTAGCAAGAAAAATCCGTTGCGATTTTACGCACGAAAACGCCGCCATCACCTATCAAAACGAAGCTAGCCACCAAACGCGTCGGGCGGATTCGCAAGCGTTGCGGTCCAATCAACGATAATCTAGTTCGACTCTATATTGACGCTCTGAAGATGCCCTCTCGCATGATGCCCCTTTCAACTAGCGGCAAGCATTCCTCAATTCTCAGTCAACTATTGAACGATAATGTAGAACCAGCTTTATGCGTCATGCGTCATGGAAAAGTGTGTGCTGCGGCCTTGACGGTTGCATTCGTCGCCTTGACGTTTTGCAAATCGTATTGTACTAGAGAAGACCGCATCCTTTCGTACTTACTGTTGTCCACTGATCTTACGATCCTTCATCAATGTTATTGACGTTAACAAAGTTTGTTTACGCCGATCTTGACACTTTCATTTTCCTCAAAAGTCGTTAGCAAGAAAAATCCGTTGCGATTTTACGCACGAAAACGCCGCCATCACCTATCAAAACGAAGCTAGCCACCAAACGCGTCGGGCGGAGGGCATTGACGCTCTGAAGATGCCCTCTCGCATGATGCCCCTTTCAACTAGCGGCAAGCATTCCTCAATTCTCAGTCAACTATTGAACGATATTATTCAGAAACCAATTTCTTAAATTGATAATTGCTTGCAAATTAATGTTACGTACATAATTAATAATTGATTGAATAATATTTGTCGATACATGTGGTATGATTGGCCAATTTCATAACATCGATGTTATAACTTCGGCGTACAACGTGCCGTGTAACAGAGGTTATGGAAAAGTGTGTGCTGCGGCCTTTAAGATTGAGATTGAAGAGTGAAGATTGAAATTTGACCAATCAAAACAATAGAAGCTAAAATTCCTTTGTTCTCATTGGTCAAATTTTAATCTTCACTCTTCAATCTCAATCTTCAATGCGTAGTCTGATTCCGGCCTAAAGACCATCACACGTAAAAAAATTTTAGTCGTAATCGTAAGGCCGTAAGCAAATCAGCCAATCACAGTCGAGCGTTTTGAAACGCGAGATCGTAATTTTGATTGTGATTGGTTGATTTGCTTGCGACTTTATGATTACGACTAAAATTTTTGTACGTGTGATGGCCTTAACGGACGCAATGCCTAGTAACTTTTGCGGACATCTGGTGCGGATTACGGATTGCGGACTGTATGTGACAGCATCCTAATATCTATGTCACACTACGCATTGGAGATTGAGGATTGTGAGAATTAAAGATTAGAATTCGACCAGATAAGTTTAATCCGTTTCGTTCTAATTGACTGAATTCTAATCCTCAATTCACAATTCTCAATTTAATGCGTAGTGACACGGGCATAAGACCGGACTATGGATTCCGGCTTAAATATATACATTGGGTGCATTCAGTACTACAACCGCTCAGTGAGCTCTTGCATCTGATTAGCATATTCCGTTAGAACTAAAAATATAGACCAAACAGATTCAAGAGCTCACTGAGCGCTCAGTGAGCGCTTGCATCTTATTGGCATATTCCGTTAGAACTAAAAATATAGACCAAACAGATACAAGAGCTCACTGAGTGCTCAGTGAGCGGTCGTGATACTGAATGCACCCATTATGTATGTAGAGTGCTGATAGTGACGTTGAGGTTAGATATTGAGGTATTGAAGTAAATTTTATTTACAAAAAAGTGCAATATTATTTACAAGGTTAATATTATTTGTACGATTGTAACATTTTTATATAAAGAACCTAGTGGCATTATTATAAATTTTATGTCATTATTTATTTTTTTTCTGTACGTTATTTTATATCATATTATTTATTGTTATTAATTGTTCTAAACATTTTTATAATTAATATAACTAATTTTCACTAGAAGTATCATTTTCATTATCAATTAACCTACTATATTTAAAATACGCGCCTCTCCAAGTGGGGAAAAACTGATTGGTTAAATTTCAAGCCATCCTCTCCATGTCGCCATTATGCACAATAATTCACCTTACATTCCTTTCACCAGTTTCACCATGTGTGTCTGAACGCGACCATTAATAACTTGTTTCGCAAGGCAAATTGCCGTGTTCTTCTGCTAGATTCTTTGAGTTAATACATGCTGAATAAGCATATTTTTATTAAGATTGAGACAAGAAAGCAATTCTAAATAATTAACCAAAATGGAAATAGATCAAAATGTGTCACAAACTCTATTGACACAAGGTGCCACATTGGTTTTACTAGATGTACCTGCGAGCACTGACATCGGTATTGATATAAAGTCTTGGAATGTAGGACAGAATTTTAAAGGAATCAAACTGATTCCACCTGGAATCCACTTTGTACATTATAGGTATTATTGAATAGAATATAATTATTATTTCAGCTACATATCCAAGAATAGACTTGGTTTACAATGTTACTTATCCACACACATCTTCCATATAATCGTACTATACACAACATAAATTATCGACTGGATTATCACTTTTTTTTTGCACACATCAACTATCCACTTATTTATCATCCCATTTATTTCTCCTTGACATTTACAACATCATATTATTTTATTTACATTTCAATATCCAGATAGCCAAATGTGATATAGTGTATTGTGCAAACTAATTCATTGTATGTGTTGTTAGATATTTGCCGTACATTTGCTGACATCAAAATAGGACACATGAATACAACAATATGACTGCTTATATATGTAATCAGTTGTCAAAATTTCTAGAGCAAACTGTGAACAATGAAGGTACATTACGTTGTCGGCAACATGTTAGCAGTGAATAATTAATTATTTCATCTTGAGCTCGTTGCTAACAAAATGCTGACAATATGACAACACGAGTTGTTGAGGATATTCATGCTGACATTGCCATCAATTTGCCATCACAAGAATTCGAATTCCATTGAGTTCAACGTAACAGAAATAATGCTGTTTCACCTTGTCCTGAGTTTGTAGTTGCTACAACATGTCAGCAAATATATATTGCATTTGGCTATTTGGATACTGTTAGGCTGATATTTCATGTTGTACACAACAAGGCTTTTCAGAGAGAAGTTTCCTCTGTTCTGCAGCCAATCAACATGCTTAAAAAGTTTGTCGTATGACATATTAAGCCTCATCTACAATTGCACAGTCTGTTACAGATTGCAAGCTTGTTGCGACAGCCAATCTGAAGCGTTAATTTTATTATTACAAATATTTTAGATGAGGCTTTAGACTTAACAATTAAATAAATATATAGGATGATCCAAATCAACCGCAAGAGCCGGCATGTATACGCACTGTTTATGAAGAATTGAAAAGTCTTATCATTTTGTAATGGTCTCAACAGTTAAGGAGATATTAATTTCTAAAAATTGCAGAATAAGTGGATAAAAATCGATGTACAAGACAACATTAAGATATTTTTCAAAGTTCTTTATGAAATATCTCAAAAATATTTCTTAAAGAACTCTTAATCCTTCGTGGTCACACCTCCTGAGAATTTTGGTCACACAGGGAGCAAAATGACGCCAACATTTTAATTGATTGTATGAGGTTTCAAAAAATCGAAATTTTTTTTATTGCTTTAATCATTAATTTGAACCCTTAAGAAGACGAGAAAAAAGATTCGGAGGCGAAATTCAAAGTCAAAGTGGTCGAGAAAATGAATTTCAGCTGCAGCAGGTCGGAGCGACTCCGCCTCATTCGTAATCCACCCAGGCCCTTCAGATATACAGAACTATGTACCCATCAAAATATGAGTTCTAGATGTTATAATCCAATTTCAGTAATTTCAGTGTTGGTTTCAGTGTGCGAGTGACGCCATTAGTAAATATCAAAAAAGCGCACGTTCCACTTTAAACGCGTTTTTCTCAAAACTACATTTTTCGTGACGGTGTACATGATAACTCAAAAAGTTTTCATCCGATTGACTTCAAATTTTAATACTAAATGTTCTTAGCAACATTTTCTATCGGCTGATGTAGGATTTTTGCAAAATATTATGTAGTTTTTTTTAATCGATAATTAAAAACGATTTTTTTTTTTTTTTCGAAAAAATTGTAACTTTTTTTCAAACCATCGCCATTTCAAGAAAAATCAATATTAAAAAAAATCTACGTCAGCTGATAACCATAACAGTGTAATGATGCCGCTTTTTTTTACTTTGCATAGGTTGCACCATTTTGCTAAAATCGTGTACACCGCTTGGGCCCGTCTCACGAAAAGTGTTCCCATAATGGATCAGAGAGCCGCCATTTTGTCGGTCAAACGAAATGAAAAAATTATTTTCTACACTAGAAAAAATATGTATAATAAAATCCTCAAATTGATTTTTCAATCAAGTTATTCATTTCTTCCCAAAAAATTCACAAAGTTAAAACTGATTTTTGGATGCCGGGGATAGGGTCCCCCCTTAATAATGAACATTTCATAAATCATTTATAATAAAAATTAATTAAGGCTTCCTTAAATTTATCTTTAGATGCTCAGTAGCCAATAAATTAATTCGTAGAGCCGTAAATATAAGGTGTGACTATGAATACGGACAAAAATCTCAATAAGCAATGTGCAAAACAAAGATACATGTATATTCGCCATTTCCCGTAATTTGTTTGTTTCTTAACTCGTCACGTATCAGTAGTCGTATGTTCCACTTAACGTTTGCAACACACTCAGTACAAGTCGTATCGTATTATTTATACTTACAACTTGTTTTTTAAGGTAAATAATTCTTAGAATATAAATATTTTTTTATTGTACTGTTTATAAAAAAATGTTTTAATATTTTTCTTTGTTTTTATTCAAAGAATCTTTCAGGCTTTAGTCACGGAATTTTTTCAAAAAGTGACCAGAAAAAGTCAGGGAAATTGTTTTTTTTGCTAGCAACCCTGTATTATCAATTTAGAGTTCGGAATAACCGAGTACCCGTCCGCCCGCTTCGTTACCTGTGCATACGGATCTGGACCGAAAAAAGGACTTGTATTTTAGAATCGTTCGTAGTGATTCTCATTTTATTTGTTGTTAATTAATTTAAATGATGTGGTAACTTTCAAAATATTCAACTAGAAATGGAAGGAAAATCTTTACGAACGATTTTGAATCAAGATGTTAATAATTTTTCTTTATTTTAAAGTCGGTTGACAGTCATTCTTTTAAAAGTCTCTATTTTATTATGAGTTGAACTACAAACAATTGCGAACGAAATACTGTATATTATACTCATTTTATTGAAAATTTTGTTAAGGTTCTCGGATACCAAGTTTACAAAGGTATTATAGATAATTGTATAATATACATATACGTATACATATATACACTTATACATATACATGATGTCCCATTTCAACTTTCGCGTCGAAATATCTCGTAAAATATAAAAGATACGGGAAAATGTTTCCAATAAAAATTTTATTACTTCGAGGGGGACATAAGATGGTACCATTGGTTTGGCGTCGTTAAGGTCAGGGCAAGATCACGTCGATTTTTTAAAATGGAACCCCCCATTTTTCATTACATTTTCTTGTAGCTTACTTCGAGAGCTTTTCAAAACACATTATAATAAAATATTTTTTCATTAAGAGTATTTTTCGAGTTATATAAGGCTCGAAAGTTACAGTACAGCCGGCATTAGCATTACGCAGGTTGTCCGACCGATGACTAAAACCTCTTGAATGTTCAGGATCATGTCCTGGATAACATTTGTCAAGATCAAGGCCATTGGAGATTATTCCTCTTATTTTCATTTTTACACTAAAAATTTATTTTTACGTAAATCGCACGCACGCACGCACGCACACGATATGCAAATTCCGACCGAACAACTTCCCCGTGGTGCACATCGGGTAACGCGAATGCCGGCGGTACTTACCCAAAATCTTGCAAAATGTAGAGTTCCCTTTGATAACTTGATAACTCAGCTTCTAAGCATGCTAGAGTAATGGTCGAGGTCTCATTTTAAAGGAAAAGTTCCAGACTTTAAAATGTATGTAATGAGATCTTTCGGCCTGTTCGTACTTTGCCCGTGAAAAATTGGAAATTCATGAAATTTTCAGAATTTTAACGACCTGCTTCTGGCCTTCGCGAAAAAGAAATTCGGTGTGACGGGAAATATCACATTAATTGTTTCAAAGTAGAAATTTCAGCCCTTTGAAACGCACCTAGAAAAATTGTCGTGCGATCTCTGGAAGCGGAGATACAGTATCTTAAATATCGACAAAATTTGCAGGTTTTAAAGTGCTCCCCTAATTTTTTTGCGTAGTGTATATACAATTACCTTCTTGTACAGGTTTAGGTATGACTTGTATACAGACATAACTGTTTAAATTCACTAAATAATTTAATATTTTTATAGTGCAGCAAACAAATTTGGCGAGTTGGCACCTAGAATTGGTTTCTTCCACGATTTCCAGAAAGGTGAATTCTTAGTGAAAAGATGGGATAACAAAAAGGAAGATGTTAGTTCAGAATGTAAGTCAATCAGGATTATTATTAATAATGCGAGATTCAAATTCTACATGACATCTTCAAACGGTACAGCTGTACCTGACGAGACAATTCAGAGGCTGAAAGATAACATAAAAGAGTTGGACAGGTATTTAGGACCATATCCATACGAGATATCGAAATCGTGGACAAAATTAACAAACGACATCACTGCGTCTCTCATGATGAGGTGTTCCCCATTATGTGGGTAAGTAAGATGTAAGTCTTGTCTACTTGAAATTTAAAACTTAATGTATAGCTCTATTGGAATATTATGATTTAGTTATGTACGATCCGCTTTGGAACTGGAGTACTGCAGCGACGCTTCGAGACCACGTGGCCAAGAATCCGATAGCAAACGAAAAAAATCTGGTAGACTCACGGCGGAAAGTAAGGAAGAGCAGTTGCTGCCGAATCTGAAACCGAAGCCTGGTACAGAACTCAGACTTACAGAAATACCAGATAAGCATTATCCCGATGATGCGACTCCGAGCGAGATAACGCGGCATTCTCTTGATACTAGCTATGTTTTGGATATCACCCTGAAAAAATTGCGAGAGTAAGTTCGAAATTAAAATTTTAGATCTTAAAGGCTAAAAGCGAGAAAGATGCAATCGGTGGGAAAAACGAGTTTCGTGTGAATATTTAAAGGTCAAATCTTTTAGACCTATCGAAATTATCGGAGAAATGCAGCTGACGTTCATCTGTTTCCTAGCTGGTCAAAGCTTGGACGCTTTCGAACAATGGAAGAAATTTGTATCGCTCATTTGTGGCGCCGATAACGTGATTCCACAGTATCGCTCTATCTATATGAAATTTCTGCAAGCTCTGGAAGAAGAATTGTCGTATGTGCCGGAAGAAGTACTCTGCGACATTGTAGCGAGCAATAATTTTGTATATCGTAATCTGTGCAACTTATTCGGTAATATCGAGTCAAATTCTGAGGTGGACGGTCGATTGAAATCGTACGCCAAGCGTTTACAGGGTCGATTGACCGCTAAATTTTTGTGGGACTTTTCGAATTTACTTGAAGAGGCGGACGATGAGTCGCCTGTTATTGTCACTTTGGCATAAACACAAATAAATAAACAATAATAAATGATTTATTAAAACCGTAATGTGAATATATATAACAAGTAAGAATATTAAAGCCTATAACGGTCGAAGCTGGATGAATTATTTGAAGCAGGATCCAGCTTCAATCATTATAGGCTTTAATATTCTTACAAATAAATAAGGTATGAACTAATAAACATCGTCTTTTTACATGTAAATAATTATAATTGAACAACATATCTCGTAGCATTTTATATATTTCTGTTTGTAGTTAATATGTTATGTGTTAATATTATTATTCCAATCCAAGTAATTTAACTTTAATTTTCTGTCAAAAATTATTTATTACATCTCGAAAAAAAGCATTGTACCAAATTAAAGTTAAAACCCAAATGCTACAGTCTTAACTAATCAAAATAAATAAATAAATACAGATAATAGAAGCTCAGATGAAGTAAATCAATATATGAAAAAATGTCAATATAAGCTGACACTGGTTCTTAACGTACGTATTTATTGACAGAATTATATTCCTGTTCATAACAATATGCATATGTTTCGATCCCTTGTTCGGATCCTCTTCAGTATGTAAATTAATGTCGCAAGTTAAATGATTAAACTCCGCGATGATTCGTCATATTCATAAATTTGTCAAGTTAATATATGTTTGGTTCCAAGCTTCAATGCGGCTAAACCCTCATTAAATTGCCAGATTTACTGTGTGATATAAAATTATATAAGTAATGTTATTGCGTTGAAATTAAAAATATTTTTTACTTACATGAGAGATATTCCATCTTTAAGTACGTGTTAAAGATGTTGTCACTTTACAAGTTAAATGCGAAACGATTATAAAACAACGAACAAACAAGTTATACTAAACTAAAAATGACATTCGGATACCACATTGACATACCTACTTGTGTTTTTAAAGAAATAATTTATTTGTTCAGAAATCCCTGAGATGAAAGGTACTGTAAATTAGTTCTTAACTCCATATTAGGGTGATCCATCTTTATTCTTGAAGAAAAAATTTTTTTCGAATTCTTTTCGCGACATCCCTCAAAATGGTTTCCAATTCGCAAAAAAATAATTGCTGTCAAAAATAATTGCTTTCAGCTCGATCGGAGTGGAATCGGTGCCGATAGCTCGTTAAACATTTCAGTTCACTTATATTACATTATCGATATGGATTTTTAAAGTTATTTTCCACAAAAATCGGCCTAGAGAATTTTTCTTTTTTTAAACATGTGTATCTTGTTTTTTTTGCATCGTTTGAGACTTATACGTCTCATTTAATACAATTAGGTGAATTGTTAATGATTAAGAAATAAAAATAAATAGTTTAACTCTGGTATATACGCGACTGGATAGTCCTTTTCATTGTTCATTAAAAAGTTATTAAAAAGTAAAGTAAAAAGGTTCAGATTATCATCTGTCGACTGAAGTTCGAGACATAAGACATGGGCCAGGCAGACGACGACCACGCCCACGTTTCTTAAATTTAAAGTTTTGAACAAAATTTGCAACATGTTGCAATATCTCCGCTCGTAGAGCAAATAGAAAATAAATAAATGTACTTTCATTATATAATTTGAGTATAAGCTACCGATTGACCGTACATAGAATTTGATTAACACGGCCATTATTGAGTAATAATCGATGTAATAATCGAGATCTCGGAAAACTCACCGCTCCGCGTAAAAATATTCGTTACTATCTCGCGCTAAAATCCCGCTACGTGTTTTTCTTAGCGTCGACACTACCGTGTCTCTGGATATATGAGTGATCGTCAATTGTCTGTTATTTCAGTGTGGGCTTACATTTAATTTTCGCTCCACAAACGCTCCAAACTTCAATCACATACCTTTATAACTGTTGTAAAATTCTTTAATATGATTGATCTTGCCCTTAGTTCCTAACTGAATCTAAATATATAAACCAATCATATTCAAGAATTTTACA